CTGGACATAGATTTGTCGTGTAAATTGAGGACCTGCAGATTTGTCCTGCATATCCTTCCTTAGGCCTGTTCATGGGTTACAAAGGAAGTCCCCAAGAAGGGAGGGGGGCACGATGAGGCATGTCTGACCTCCCTCCTCCTGGCAGACAATTTAATTTTAGGATATTCCTTTGGCTACAAGGGGGTCCATTCAGTCAGCTGGCGGTGGGGGGAGGAGGGTGTTGAGCCTTAAGATTTTATTTTAGTTCACAGTGTGACTCTTGATTCCACCCCTCTGAGCTCTGCAACCTTGACCCACAGACCCAAATCATTTTATCATTATGTTTCAGTGTATTGTTGCCTCCCACCAGAATGTGTGGCCCCTTGAGAGCAGGCCATTTGTCATTTTTGTCCCCTGACCTGCCCCAAGGTCCAGAACAGAGCTTCCCACATCATACACCCTTGTGCCCTCATCCAGCGAGCCTTGGTTATGTCTGCGGGATGCCCGGGCCTGCGCTCAAAGCCAGGGTGCAGCAGTGAAAGACAAGCAGGGCCCTCCTCAGGAAGCTTACAGTCCATTTGTATACACAGGTGAAAAAATAAATCTAAAAACCCCATTATTGGCTGGGCACGGTGGCTCTCGCCTGTAATCCCAGCCCTCTGGAAGACTAAGGTGGGAGGATCGCTAGAGTTCGAAACCAGCCTGAGCAAGAGTGAGACCCCGTCTCTACTAAAAATAGAAAGAAATTAATTGGCCAACTAAAAACATATAGCAAAAATTAGTCGGGCATGGTGGCGCATGCCTGTAGTCCCAGCTACTTGGGAGGCTGTGGCAGGAGGATCACTTGAGCCCAGGAGTTTGAGGTTGTGTGGTAAGCTGGACACCAGCGCACTCTAGCCCGGGCAACAGAGCAAGACTCTGTCTAAAAAAAAAAAAAAACCCATTATTTGAGATGGGGATAAGTATTATAAAAATAGAACAGAGTACGGAGATAGAGGAGCAGAGGTACTTTAGCCTAGGTGGTCCAGGAAGGCCTCTCAGAGGAGGTGACAGGCAGGCCAAGGCCAGAATGAAGTGAGGGTCTGGGAAGAGTTCCAGGCAGGAATGGCAGGTGCGAGGCCTGGAGGCGGGGGCAGGAAGACAGCCGTGTGGCCGTAGCATCGTGGGCGTGAGGTGGACGTCAGCAGCACTCGGGGGCCGGATCACGAGGGACTTTGTCGGCATCACATGGGGACTGGGATTTTTTTCCTGGTGCGTGGGAGCCTTTGGGTTTTCATGCAGGTGAGTGACGTGATTGGCATATGTGACAAAAATGCCACTAGGGCCACTACGTAGGGGTTGCACTGTAGGGAATCAAGAGTGTATGTGTCGAATGAATGAATGGATTTGGCCGGAGCTGAGCTTTTGCACTGAGCGCCTCCCCCCCTCCCCTGTGGCCAGAAACAGGCCAGCTCACGTTTCTCTGTTTATTCGTGAGCTGAGACCTACGGCTGGGCTCCAGATACCAGCCCAGTAAAACACCACCTTGGGCTGTCTGGGTAACAGGTGCAATTTCCTCGGCCTCCATCTGGCACGTGGGATCGGTTAAATGCAGTGGAAACGGCTGAGCCCGCCGACAGCGCGGCTGGCGCTGTGCTCAATCTGTGGTTTGTGCTGTCCGCGTCTCTCCGCCCCCGTGGTCTGGGCTGATCCTCTGAGCCAGGGAAGTCTGCTGTGAATCTCAAACTTGGGTTCCCGGAGCAACCATAGAGGCCAGTCTCGCTGGGTGACTTTGGGCAAGGTTCTTAACCCCTCTGGGCCTCGGTTTCTCCATCTGAAACAAGGGGGAAAAGATCTGTGTGCTGATGTAGAGGAAGGAGTTCAAGGTTTGGGGTCAAAAGTTGACTCGGATCTTACCACTTACTGTGTGACTTTGGGAAAAATCACTTTGCCCCTCTGGGCCTGTTCCTCAGTTGTAAGAGAGAGTCATAATGGTTCATGCTCCACTTAACCTTCATGGTAGTTGTGAGAATTAAATGGATTGGAAAGTGCTTTGCAAACTGTTAACATGCTGTAAAAGTATTGATTTGTTGCTTTTAACTACTTCAGGGTTTTTGTTTTTTTTTCTTTTTGAGACAGAGTCTCACTCTGCCACGTGGGCTAGAGTACAGTGGCATCAGCCTAGCTCACAGCAACCTCAAACTCCTGGGCTTAAGCTATCCTCCTGCCTCAGCCTCTCGAGTAGCTGGGACTACAGGTTGTGCATTACCATGCCCAGCTAATTTTTCTATTTTTTTTTTTTTTTTGGTAGGGACAGGGTCTCACTCTTGTTCAGGCTGGTCTTGAACTCCTGGCCTCAAGCAATCCTCCCGCCTCGGCCTCCCAGAGTTCTAGGATTACAGGCGTGAGCCACGACACCCAGCCTTCAGGGTTGTTTTGGAAGGTAATGAATTATTATTGTAGACAGACTTTTCAGTAGCTCCTATATAGAAGTAATATGTTGAGAACAAAAATTTTTGTTGTTCAGCTACATAGGAACAAATTTATGGATCAAGAGCAGTGTGGAGTGTGGTTATTAGCCATGAAAGCTCTTGGCAGTATGACTAGTATTTAAAACAGGTGGTGACCAAGAGCTCTGTCTTTGGGCTCTGTCAATCTGCCATTCACTGGCCCTGTGTCTGGGCGCAGTTACTTCTCTGAGCCTGTTTCCTAATTTGCAGACTGGCCATTATGGCCCTACCCGCCTCCCAGAGTTGGCTGAGACGACACACGTTAAAATTACAGCCCTGTGCCCGGCATTCAGTAGTAACTCAGTAATGTTAGGCCTTGTGGTCGTTTATTACACCTTTGCTGGTGCCGGCACCATGCTAAGCATTTTACTCATTTGCTCACGGGTCATTTATGCACTTATTTCTTTAACAAACATTTATAAGCCTCGTGGGTTCCATTCTAGGCGCTTTGCAAACGCTAGCCCATGTGGGCTGTGTTGTTTACAGCTTACGCAGCCCTTCCAGGTAGCTGCCACGGGGTCCCACTTGCAGGGGAAGAAATCTAAGCGTGCAAAAGTGAAGTTGCGCAGGGTCCCATTTCTGCTAGGTGGCAGTGCTTGTTTTCAAGCCCAGGTCTTTGTGGTCCTGAGCCTGTGTTCATGTCCTGGCTGCCCCACAGTCGAATCTGTGCCTTCTCTGTGCCCTCCTGCCACTCCCAGGGCTGTCCCTGTCCCCCATGCCTGGCTTGGCCTATCCTGTCTCTCCTCTCCTCCCTGCTTCTCTTCACCCTCCTCTTCCACTTCCCCCTGGGAAGTGAGGACTGAACTCTCATCTTTTTCTTTTGCTAAAAACTCCTTCCTAAGGAGGCCAGCTGGGTCAGGCTGACAAAGGGTAAATTCCCACTAAGCAGCGGTGGTTTACATCCCAACCTGATTCTGGTATGGTATTAACATCACGTAAAAGATAAGAAGCCCCTGTCTTAACTCAAGCATCCTAGCAGATGCCTATCATAAATTTAAAATATCTTAAAGCATCCTAGCAGGTGCCTATTGTAAATTTAAAAACATCCTCCTGTCTGGACCTCCCAGAGTGCTCACACCCTTATCTTAAAATAAGCATATCCTTTCTGGTCTTCTAGATAAAGTCTAACTCTCTCAGCCAATTGCCAGCCAAAGGATCTTTACACCTACCTATAACCTGTAAGTCCACACTTGGAGATGTCCCACCTTTTTGGGGCAAACCAATGTATGCCTCTCATGTATTGATTTGTGACTTTGCCTGTAACCCCTGTCTCTCTGAAAATGTATAAAACTGAACTGTAACCCAGCCACAGCAAGTCCACTTGCTCAAGGCCTCATGGTCCTCAAATTTGGCTCAGAATAAATCTCTTTAAAATTATTTTACAGGGTTTGGCTTTTTTCTGTTGACAGAAGGAAGGAAAGAATGGAGGAAAGGAGGAGAGAGACCGAGGACAAGGAGACCTCCCTCCGTCCCTCCTTCTTCCTCCCTTCCTTCCATTGAGGTACAGCACACACAAAGTGCACAGTGGATTTTTAAATATGTTACTCTCGTATAACCACCACCCGGGTCAAGGTAGAGAACATTTCCATTGCCCAGAAGCCCCCTGGTGTCGCTCTGGGCCCAGTACTCCCTCCCACAGGTAACCTCTCTTCTGATTTCTGTCACCATCCTTTTCTTCCATTCCCTATAAAGGGAATTCTGCAGTCTGTACTCTCTTGCGAATGGCTTCCTGCTTGTCATTCTGCCCGCGAGACGCGTCCACGTTGTTGTGGTTAGCTGTAGTCCATTCTTTCTTCATTGCTGTGTGATGTTGCATGGTATCAGTGTGACACCATTTATCCAGTCTACTGCGAGGGGCGTGTGGGTTGTTCCCGTCTGGGACTGTCGTGAATGCGCTGTCACGAGCGTTCACAGACATGACTTTGCACACACGGCCCTCACGGCTCAGGAGTGGGATGGCTGGGGCCCAGGGAGGACATGGTCAGTGTTAGTGGATGCTGTCAAACTACTTTCCAAATGGTTGTCCCGATTGACGCTCCCACAAGCGAGCAGCGTGTGAAAGTTCTGTTTGCTGCTTATCCGCCGCCAGCACTTGGTACTGTCCATCTTCTCGGCTTTCCCCGTTCTGATAGGCAAGTGGTAGCATCTCATCGGGGTTGGATTTCCCATTTCCTTGATGACCGATGATGTTGGACACCTTTTCAAATGCTCGTTGGCCATTGGGATGTATTTTATGAAGAATCTATCCAAGTCTTTTGCCTGTTGTAACATTGGCTTCATTTACTTTCTCTTACGGATTTGCAGGAGTTGTTTATGTGCTGTGGGCACGGACCCTTTGTGGATACACGTGTTGAAAACCTCCCCCGCACCCAGTCTGTGCTGTGTGTTTTCACTCTCTTGGAAGTGATGAGTACAGGTTCTTCATTGCAGTGAACCCTGCTTCATCTTTTATAGTTTCATCATTTTTATGTCCCATATAAGTAACCTTTGCCTACCCCAGAAACATTTCTCACTGGGATTTTTTTTCTGCAGGGCTGGGAATGGCCACACGGCAGGGTCAGCGGCCCCAGGTGGCCAAGCCAGCCTCAGAGGAGGAGCCACGCCCGCCCACGGGCCGGGAGCTGACAGAGGCCAACCGCTTCGCCTATGCCGCCCTCTGCGGCATCTCCCTGTCCCAGCTGTTTCCAGAAGCCGAGCACAGGTGGGTTCTTTTGTCTCGCAGAGGGAAGGTCATGCTTCCTCAGGGAGACGATGACGGACAGCCAGGCAGCCTGCCAGGGACTGTGGCACAGTACAAAGAGGAGCAAGTCACTGTCCCTGCCTGTAAGGAACCCTCTGTCTGGTAGGGGCATAAGACATCCCCTCATTCAGTTACTCATTCATTTGTGCCGTCGTCAACCATAGTTTGAGCACCTACTGTGTGTCAGGAGCAATTTGAAGTACATGGAGGGTGATTGAGAATGAGACAGGCGCCATCCCTCCCCTCAAGTGGGATGCAGTCTAGGAGGGAGATAAGGTATTTATTCATTCATGCGACATGGATTTGTTGAGTACCTACTGTGTGCTGACTGTAGGAGCCCCATGGAAGAAACAGAGCCAGGCCTGGCTCCTGCCTTTAAGATGCTTATGTCGAGGTATGGGCACCCAGGTGGCTGATTGTAGCAGCGGGCAGGGACAGGGGAGTGAGTGCCACATGCAGGAGTGAGTGCCGTGACTAGTTTAAACAGGGTGTAGTCAGAGCAAAAGGATGTTACAGGTGCAATAACAGTGTTATACCTAATGCCTGCCATTGCCGATATCTACTGTGTGTTTCTTAAAATGATATATTTGGAATCAGAATAGCAGAATTGTTAACACTAGGGGCTCTGGCCTTCAGGGATTCTAGGGGGAGAGCTTGGAGGCAGGAGGAGGCCAGTAGGAGGCTGATGGGGTCGACCAGGGAACTGGGACAGTGACCGAGGGCTGGAGGGAGGACATATCTGGAACAGACTCCACTCAGGGAGAATGGAGTTGACTCAGGAGCAGGTTGAATGTTGGGGTGAGGCAGAGGCAGGAGCTGACTGTGGCTGCAGAGGTTCAAGTAGAGAGAAGAGCACAGGACAGAGATACCGTCATTAGCACAGGGAACACAGGTTGGGGGGCAGGAGGTGATGAGAAGTTCTTGTACCTCAGTGTTCTTAAGACACTCCCCTCCCCCACTTTCTGCTCACTGGTGCCCCTTGAATAAACTTCCCTCATGCCTTGGGTCTTAGCTGTTTGGGGTTTTTAGTTTTGGTTTTGGTTTGTTTTGTTTTCTGATACAGTCTCACTCTGTCACGGGGCTAGAGTGCAGTGGAGTCATCATAGCTCACTGCAGCCTCAAACTCCTGGGCTCAAGCAATCCTCTTGCCTTCCGAGTAATTGGAACTACAGGCGCATGCCACCATGCCCAGCTAATTTTTTTTATTTTTTGTAGAGACAAGGTCTTGCTTTTGCTCAGGCTGGTCTCCAACTCCTAGCCTCAAGGGATCCCCCAGCCTCAGCCTCCCAGAAGTGCTAGGATTACAGGCGTGAACCACCGCGCCCGGCCTTGTTTTTGTTTTTCTTTGTTTCTCCACTTGACTGAACACTTGAGCATTCTCAACTCCATGGGGTCACCTCCGGGAAGCCTTCCTAGCCTGTCCCGTAGACCAGGGTGTCACTCCACCTGTATGCTCAGTGACCAGTCACTGCAGCCACCACACTGTACCGGAACGCTTCCATTCCCGTCACTCCTCCAGTTTGAGCTCCTGGGGCAGAAGCCACCTTGTTGACCTCTGAGCCCCCAGTGCCTCGCACATAGCTCAGTGCAGCAGTGACACTCGGGAAAGATTCTGGGAAAGAAGAGGTGGATAAATGCTGCTTCGTTCACAGGGAGCCATTCTGTAGGCTTTGGGCTCAGATCTGGGCTCAGATCCCAACTCTGCCGCTTTCCAGTTGCATGTGCCCTTGGGCAGGTTATTTAATGTCCCTCGGGAAGCATCAGTCTCTTCCTCTGTAGAGTGGGGCTAATAATACCCACCTACAG